CTTCTTACTATATATATATATATATATATATATATATATATATATATATATATATATGTAATAATATAAATATATATAAAATAACTTTTTATTTAAAATAAAACAATATTCGATATTAAAAAATAAATTATAAGTATTATACATGTTCTAACATTTCAATTTGTTAATAAAAGAAATTTTTATAAGCATTATAAAAGCAAATATATTACAAAATTATTATCATTAAAGTATAATATTAAAAACAATTTTCTCTCGTGATTTTAATTCCATTGTTATATCAAAAATTTTTAATAAATCTATTTCTTTTGAAAATAATAAATAAAATAACATTTAAAAAATATAAACTAATAACACAACAAGAAAATTGTATCCGCGGTCGAAAGTTCAACGGTTCCCGACGCGCATGCGCAATACAACAAGTTGGCGCGGAACACCCGGATGTGCTGCCGCACGAGCACGATACGGTAGAAGGAAGAGGCATGACGCCATGTTTTGATGTCGTCATCCCCCCCAAACCGCTGTTTCTTGAGCAGCACAATAGTCTGTCAGTGTTTTTCTGTTGTGCGCCTCGTGTTCCGTGTTCCTGGTGGCGGTTTTGGCGTATTCCTTTGGCCCTCCCCATTGTCGTGTCGAAATTGGATGCTTGCCTTTAAGGCTAACGCTTGTCTCTGTGGATTGACGGTCGCTGAAGGTGGCCTTTCGTGTCTTTTCATGTCCGGGGAAGTAACCGCGGAGCGGGGGGGTCCGCGAGCGTCGTCTACGTGGTGGTAGTGTCCTAGTGCGGGGAGGACGAGCGATCACGATCCTCCACCGAACGGTTAATCTAAGTGATTACGTCACACGATCCTGAGCTGGGCTTTCGAAAGAAACGATTTACTAAAGAAGTGGACGGGGACGACGACGGGGACGAAGACGACGGCCCTGCTAAAATGGAGCTGCGCCTGCACTCGCCAGCCGGAGCAGAACCGATCGTCTATCAATGGCCCCTTACTTCTGGATCCGGATCTGTGAGTAAATTTTATTAATTACGCATTTAATAATATTCTATATAAAAAAAATATATAATGTTAGAAATACATAAAAGAACTGCTATGTAACCTGTCGTTTATCCCTCATCCTCACAGCTGATCGTACATGTATCACACGATGAGAATTCTTCCCACTATTATTTTGTTATAATGTCACGTTTATTTTACTTCAGAATCAAAATCTTTTGAATTCTTAAGTTTTTCATATCAAATAATTATTAATAATTATTTCCATATGTATAATTTTTAATTATATATACTACAATGTATGTGCATTTAAAAAAAAAAAATTTTTCTCAAAATAATTTTTTTTTAAATAATTTCTTCATTTCTTGATTTTTGCTCATAATCATTTTTTCAATTATTTATTTTTATTTTATTTTATTTATTTATTTATACTAATGAGATATTTTATTATAATATCATAAATTGTATTATTTGTATATTGAATTAGAAATGTTTCTTATATAAAATAATTTTATTTTAATTTTATAAAAATTGTTGTTAATTTAAATTTATAGAAATATTTCTTGATATATATAAAGATAAATTTAACAAATTTTTTTTTATAACTATAAATGTACAAGCATGTTGATTATGATTATAAGAAATTTCAGGAAATAGAAAATTCTTTTATGTTGTAAATTTTTATTTTTAATTGATCTTCTATTTATTGTATATGTTTGTTTAAATGTAATTTTATATATGTCATATATATGTAAGTTATAAATATTTATTATTGATTTAAAATATTAAATAATTTAAAAAAAGAATAGACGAAATAGAATTATGTATTATTTAATTTATTCAAAATGGATTTTATATATATTTATATAAATAAATAGGTTTTATTCATTTATTCATTATAGGATCGTCACGATGGTGCACTTGATGTTGTTGAAACAATGAGATGGGTTTGTGAAGATTTGCCAGATTTAAAACTACCATTAGAAAATAACATTTTATGTGATTATGACACAAGAGATTATGAAAGTATGAAAAATTTATGTGACAGATTTAATAGAGCAATTGATAGTTTAGTTCAGTTGGTAAGTAGAAAAATTAATTATATTTATCTAAATTCATAATTCTTTTGTTAGTTCTAATTAAAATAATCTAATATAGGAAAAAGGCACTAGTTTACCATCACAAAGATTAAATAAAAGACCTAGTCGAGGTTTATTAAAGCATATACTTCAACAAACATATAATCAAGCAGTAGTGGAACCAGACAAATTAAATCAATACGAACCTTTTTCACCAGAAGTTTATGGAGAAACAAGTTATGAATTAGTATGTCAAATGATCGATCAGATTGATGTAACAGAAGATGATGTATTTGTTGATTTGGGATCTGGAGTTGGTCAAGTAGTTTTACAAATGGCTGCAGCTACTTTATGTAAAATTTGTATTGGTGTTGAAAGAGCTGATGTACCATCAAGATATGCACAGGTATATTATTTTTTTATTAGATTTTAAAAACATTATATTTTTTATTAATAATAAATTTTTATATATACAAGTCTATTAGTCAAGTTATTTTTGTCAAATATTAGAGTATGGAAGTAAACTTTCGTAAATGGTTGAATTGGTATGGAAAAAGATGCGGCGAATATCGTTTGGTAAAAGGCGATTTTTTAGCTGATGAACATCGTGAAAGCATTACCGGAGCTACAATAGTATTTGTCAATAATTTTGCATTCGGTCCAACGGTGGATCATCAATTAAAGGAACGATTTGCTGATTTACGGGATGGTGCACGCATTGTATCGTCAAAATCATTTTGTCCTCTTAATTTTCGTATAACGGATAGAAATCTCAGTGGTAATAATTTGTATTATATTTTTAAAAATGCTAAGAAATATATAATAAAAATTTATTATAATTTATTAAAAAAATGTTTATAAACATTTATTTATAGATATTGGCACAATAATGCATGTTTCGGAAATGTCACCGCTAAAAGGTTCTGTCTCGTGGACTGGTAAACCAGTGTCTTATTATCTACATGTAATTGATCGTACTAAGTTAGAACGTTATTTCCACCGCTTAAAGAACAATAAACAAGGTGGCGATGAAAATTCTGATTCTGTGATAAATAACACTGCCAGCAGTAGTAATAAGATTACAAATAGAAATGAGAGAGGTGACAGAGCTAAACGAGATCTTTCAAGACAGTTAGAAAGCCCAAATCATTCAGAACAACAAGGAACGAATAGTGATTCAGATGTAGATGAGAATAATATTAAAAATCGTCGACAACCAAATAAAATTCGTAGAAAATTAAATAGAAAATCTAATGGTATAACAAGACCTCCGGCTAGAGGCAGACAAAGAGGAAGAGGCGTAAAGAAATCGAAACCCAAGAAAGCAATTAATATTTCTGGTCTGGATTTATTACATAGTCAAACATTACTTAGCACATCTCCACAAGCTCTGGGAAAGAAACCACCGCCTGCGCCTGGTTGCGTAGATCAACAATTGTCTTCATTATCACTTTCATTACAATCACATTCCACCTCTGTACACGAAGAACTTAGTATACCACCTGCTCCGTCCGCCACTCCATATGCATTACAAATACTTTTGGACTTGTACAGGTAGATTTGTTTTTTATAATATATATATGCGTATTTTTATATAAATTTCTCTTAACTACTATATATTTTTTTATATAGGGACCAATTCATGCTCATGTTAGAATCAATGAGAACTCCTTCGTACAGAGTATCAGTCAATACAGATATTGCGAAAGAAAGAGAAAGAAATTCAAAATTGCAATCAAGAGCGGCGCAATTAGAAAAACAAATAAAAGTATTAATTGATGATAGTGTAGCACTTTTAAAAGCAAGAATGACCGAGTTAGGTATAAATGCAACATCACCTGGAGATTTACTTGCAAAAGCTAAAGAGATAGTTCTTAGACATAAACAATTGCAAGCTAAAGCAAGTAAGTTGCAAGCTCAAGTTGCATCTATGGAAAGTGAACAATCAAGATTAACTGCACTTAGACATCAAGAATTACAAGAGAAATATAACAGTCTTACAAATACAAATGGCATATCAAATCCACCACAGCCACTTACTCAGGATTACATATTGAAAGAAATTTCCGCAACTTTGTCTCAACGTAAAAGATTACATTGTCAAGTTAGTAAAATATTTTTTAATTATATTATAATTACTATTAAACAAATATTTAAAAAGAATATTTAAATAAATTGAATTCTAATAAATTTATAGGTGTCTAAATTGGAACATGAATTAAATGTGTTGGAAAGAGCAAGTAATGAAAAACAGGTTGCTGCAATAGCTCAACAACAAAGAGAGGCAAATTCTAAACATTCACAAAATCAACATCATCAGCAGCAAAATGGAAAAAGCGGATCATCACGAAAAAATAGAGAAGGACGTTCTAGATCACAAGAATGGCCTGACGTTCCTGATATTGGAAAAATACAAGAAAATAATCCAGAAATATTGGCGCAAAAAATTTTGGAAACTGGCAGACAAATAGAAGCTGGTCGAATATTAAGCAGACAAAATACTAATACAAGTAATAATTCTAGAACCAGACTGCCACAAGCATCTCTCAGTTTTTCTACTACATCATCCATTTCATCCTCACAAACACAAATAAATAATAAAGAAACAACAAATAGAACTCAGGAACCTCCTAGAGTTGCAAATTTTGAAGATAGATTAAAAAGTATTATTACAAGTGTTCTAAATGAAGATCAACAAAATAGAAATAAGCAACAACAAATGCAACTACAGGTGCAATTACAAAATCAGACTGAGCAAGATAGGAAACGTATTACATTACCACAAAATGTTTCCACCCCTGATTATACACAGGTAATTTTTTGCGGTAGTTTTATAATTTAATGTACAAATAATTTAAATCACTTTTTTTTTTTAGGTTTCACCTGCGAAGTTAGCACTTCGCCGTCACCTCTCTCAAGAACGTCTTTCTTCTCATTTAACACCACCTGACAGACCAACAATCGACTCGAGGCAATCGAGTCATGATAATCGTATTGTAACAGGAGGAAATGGACTGCTCGGTACTAGAACAATTGGTGATTTAGTCAGTGGAGAAATAGAAAGAACATTAGAAATATCAAATCAATCTATAATAAATGCAGCTGTAGATATGAGTGCAATGATAAGGCCGGAAACTGTATATTCTCCTATTAGTAGACCAGCTAGTGCAGAAGGTGATGCTGGTTTATCAACTCTTGCTCATGTAGCTAGTTATGCTCCAACTTGTTCTGCAGTTTCAACATGCACTCCTACTACTACTTCAAGATCATCTGTATTATTTACACCAGTAACACAACCACAAAGGTATCAAATTACTATTATATAGAAGTTACTTTTAATAATTTTATTTTATAATTCATCTATTATATTTTTTATTTAGATACACACCAGTTCAATTACCTCGTGCAGACATCAAACCTTATCACGAATCGTACTTCTCTGACAATCCCTCTCAGTCACTTACACAGAATCATCCTCCACCATCATTACATTCATCACAGACTACATCAAATGGAGAGCTTTTGCCAGTAGAAGGATTAGCTGCATCTTTACATGCTCGTATATTAAATAATCACAATACTAAAACTGAATCAATGTTGACTACAAATAGAAGGTATTGAAATTTTATTTACATTCTCATTTTTTCTATGGTAAAAAAAATCATTTAATACATATCTATTTTGTAATAGATTTCAACCATATCCTCGGTATGCAACTAGTAACAACAATAATGGCAGTGCAACAACAAATGGTATGGTGACAGCCATTTGTCAATCACAATCTTCAATGTCAGTAAAAACAGAGGCAGTTGTGTCATCAGTAAGCACAAGTGGAGCGCCATTAAGTCCTCTTGTAGAACCACATTCTAATACATCTACACCATTAGTTGATGAACCTCAAATGACAACACAGAGACAACGAAATGGTATTGGCGATGACGGTAAGCAAAATATTCTATATTTTTATTTTACTCTTTCTCTATTATGCATTCTATAGAAATTAGAGTAGAAGATGCTTTGGAATGTACATATTCAAGTTTTAAAATATGCTTTTTATACTGGCTGTAAAAAAAAGATGAATATATTAATGAATGTTTAATTTCAATAATTTCAATAGAAATTAAATATTAAATTCTTTGCAATATTATATTTATTAATGAAATCAATTAATTTTTATAATGCAACCATATTTAATAATATAAATTACCAACCCAACAGAATAGAGAAAATCTCAAAAATATTTACATTTTATATTTTTATATTTTATTTGATTTTATTATTAAGATGTACAATTTATTTAATCTGTTCATAAATAGTTTTTATATCTTAATATAAAACTTGTAACACTCTGCTTTATCTTTTTTTAAAACACTATTATATTAGTTTCTGCTATGCATCTTTTATTAGTTTTTTATGCACTAATGGTTTAAGATCATTGTCTATGGTTTACTTTATCTTATGGAGCTGGTATTTGATCTTTATTTATATTTATTTTTGTTGTTGTTTGCTGTATTTGTTAGATGCACTGTAGCTGTTTGTTGGTTAGATCTGTCTGTCACATACTCAATCTCACTCACAACCCTTGAAGCTTGTTTTGTTAGAGATTGAGACACATTCAGAGGGAGAAATCAAAAAGTATGGCTGCCTGTGGGTTGGTTCGTGGTTGCTGGTGAGTTATCCTACAGGGGTTGTTCAAAATTCTTTCTTTATTATCATTATTACAGCCATAAAAAAAATTTAGATTCTTAGCTTTATATTTGTAAATGATATATTAGTTTATATTATATATATTAAATATCTGTGTATAATATAATACATTTTCCATGAAAATAAGCCAGACTCAAGAAATTAATAATAAAAAAAAAAAAAATGATAGAGATTATTTTATAATTTGCAGCCTACTTATGCATTTAGGAACTTTTAAGAAATAAAGCATGTTAGATTTATATGAACATATTGTATTCTTAGTCAATGGGTTTTTGTAATTTTGGTGCATGTTTTTCTGCATGATAGAATAATTTATAAAATGCTATTAATTTAGTGTTTCTTTCATTGAATAGTTGTATAAGTTATAGAAGAAAAGATGAAGTGGATATTATAAGGTACTGTACATGACACATACATGTATATATAATACATATTTTTATTTTCTAAGGAATGATATATTTACATAATAAAAAAATATTTTATTTTATTTTTTAAATTTCATTTATTAATTATATAATAAATATTTATAAATTTTAATTTTTATTATAATACCTATCTTATGATATGATATCTATCTTTAACTATATTTCAAATGTATAACTTTTTATATATTTTCTTTTAAATAATATTCACTATTACGATACACGATACAGATAATATTTTATTACTTTATGAATAAAATCATTACACAATTCATAATATAACACGTACATGGATACAAAAAATGACAAAATAATTACAAAAAAACAAATATACTTTTATTATATTTTTATTAAAAAGGGTTATTGGCTTATTTTTATGAAAATACATTGTATCCTCTTAGAATATATTAAGCAGTGTAGTAACTAAATAGAACTCATTTTGCAGATGGAGAGGCAGATTGGCAAGATCGTATCAGTTCTGGATTTGATAGACTGGTTGCGTTCGCGTCTACAGAACTAGATAAGCGAAGAAGATCGACAGAGGGAGTAAATACGAGTCCTGATAGTGGTTTAGGATCTGATAGCACTGTGACAGGACCTCCACCAGTAATTCCATCACCGGACGAAGCACTAGGACCTCCTCGTACACCTTCACCGACTAGTCCTCGTCCACCCAATCCCTCCAACGGTAGTAGTACGAGCAGTAACAGCAGCAGTAACAGTAGCACATCTTCGGTGCCTCTAAAATATCAACGTCAACTGGATCCGGAACGACATCATTTTAAGAAAAAATTTTTTCATAGAGATTGGAATAATTCTGGTAGTACGAGTAAGTTTCGTCCTAAAGGCAAGGATTGGGATTGGAATCATTCAGGACAGTGGCCTTCGAATGACGAACAATCTTAATCAACTTTTTATACATCCTATCTAAAAAAAAGCAAGTATATTAAGCTTTTAATATCTTTCTTATTATGATTATTAGATTCACAGTAATTGAATTGGACACAGTCCATATTTCTTTGGTTGCGAGACAGTAGAATTCTATTTATCTGAACTTTAATGAAATTTCTAGTGTATAATTAACTTAAAATTTTATTGAATTTATTTATTTGAACATGAATTATTATTTGATTTAAATCGTAGATAATGAAAAGAGTTAATAACCTCCTACTATATGAATTCTAGTTACATGAACTGTTTATCTTCTGATACGTTTAGATAAATGTAGTTCTACTGAATATATTTTTCGTAATAGAAATATTATTTCTTTTCCTTCTGCTTTTTGCAGTGAATCCTTAATTATTTCATGTACAATGTTAGTACATTAGATATCTTTATAGTAAATAATTCAACTATGAAACACGATTCTCAATTAGAGTTATGGCTTATTTTCTTTTTCATTTTTTTCTTTCTTCTTTTTTGTATTAAAAAAGAAGCGATATTCGAGCCAAGGGCTCTTTAATTTGTTTTTGCTTTCATATGTTTCATTACATATAAATATATTTATTTAATAGATATTTTTATTATGAGGCTAAATGTACTGTGAAATTTATTCGAAATGTTATATTTCGATTTAAAATGTATTATGAAATTTTTTCGAAATGTTATATTTCGATCAAAAATGTACTGTGAAATTTTTTCGAAATGTTATATTTCGATCAAAATCTAATATTTAGCCATATATAAATATGAACCTATATACACGCATATAGATATGAAGGTCAGAAAAACATGAAAAATATTGCTAATTACTCACTGGTGAGTATTTAAATTGAATATTATCATTTTTGCTAAAAAAAAAAAAAAAAGAAAAAGAAAACATTTTAGAATATCATGTAATCATTGTCGATTTGATATATCATCAATTTGACATACGATAAAAATGTGTTTGCCTTCATAAATATATGCTAATACCATAGAGATTATATTCCGTGAAAAAAAAAAGAAAAAAAAAGAAGGAAATATTAAAAATTTATAAATGGACGCGTCTATAGTACACGACCATTACATGTAAAATGTAGTAAAGCAAATGAAAGTGCTGTGTAAAAAATGTACTATATATTATGAACGTTGAAGCTAACGTAACTAGCTGACAAATTGGAAAAAAAAAGCTACCAAAACCTATGTGTGTTCGTAGCAAATATTCGCTGCATATTTTATACGCGGCTCTGTATCCCCTGATTGTTTCTTGAGGATGCAGCATCGAAGTGTTCATTGTTGTTCATAAATGAAATATGACAACAGATAGCAAAGAATAGTCATTTCACTAACCAGAAATTAAATTTAATTCATTTTCCTTTTTCTGTTTTTGTTTCTTTTTCTGGCACAAATTTACCCACTGATTTGTAAGATTGTGCAAAATAATCCAAAGAACAATCTCTCTACGAGAGTTAAATAGACAATTTTTCCCAGCAGGGTTTGATGACTTGAAATAATCTCGTTGATAAATATGAGATTCGATTTGTAAATATGATGCGACGCACTTTTTAAAAAAATAGACGCATCTACGTTGTATAAAAGATTTTTTAGTCATTGTGTCCTAAATATAGCGCAAAAGATTTGTAGAGAGACAAAGAGCGAGAGAGAGAGAGAGAGAGAGAGAGAGAGAGAGAGAGAGAGAGAGAGAGAGAAGGAGAGAGAGAAGAAA